GAATATAAAAATAAAGCAGAAATTAAAACTAGCCCTGCTGTCAAACCAATTACCGATTTGATAAATACAGGTACCTTTCCGCAGGATAGAAAACGGTAGTTGTCCATGCCCGCACGTCATGGCAACCCGGAGAAAATCCGCCAGGGGTGTGGCCGCCCAACTGCAGGATGGTGGGGCGGACTTGCAGACATTGGAGTGCGCGGGGGCGGCAATGCTCAAAAAAAGACAAGGAAATTTTCGAGTCCGCTCCGACCTTCGAAAGCGCACTCACATTATGACGCTTGTCGGCCAAGCAATATGCCGACTTCCGATACTCACAAAAAGGTCGCAGCCCTCGCGCCTGGCGCGCCCCCTGCCAATGCCTCCAATACCTCACAGGGGGCTGTGGTTTTGGGCGACACCAACGATGACGCCGCCGCCAAGGCCGGAGGAGATGGCTGGAACCACGGACGACAGCGTGCCGGCCGCAAGGGCAAGAGGAATGGTGCCGGCGGAGGGCCCGGCGGTCAGGATAGAAAGTGAGTTGCTATACCTCGTGCATTGGGCGGCGAGGAGTGGAGGAGAATCAACTAGCCACTTAGCGCTTTGCACCCTCGTTCGGTATTTGCGCGCGTTAGGAGAGTTGTATTTTAGTATTCTTTCTCACGCCCTTGTTTTCTGCTGACCAGCCCTTCCTAGGCGCAAGGATCGCGAGGACCGAGCGCACTTCTCGACTAAGCGGCGACGGCCCCAGGGCGGCAACGGCAACGACGAGGCGGCCGACGGCGCGGGCGATGCGCCCTCGTACATGAACATCCAATTCTCTGCCGAGGAGATCGCGGCCGAGGAGAAGCGACCGAAGCGCAAGGTGGCCGTGCTCATAGGCTACGCTGGCACTGGCTACAAGGGCATGCAGATCAACCACCAGGAGAAGACGATCGAGGGCGATTTGTTCCGGGCCTTTGTCGAGGCTGGCGCCATCTCCAAGGCAAACGCAAGCGACCCGCGCAAGGTCAGCCTCATGCGCTGCGCTCGCACGGATAAGGGAGTCCACGCGGCGAGCAACGTTGTCTCGCTCAAGGTGATCCTCGACGAGCCCGAGGCCGCCAAGACGGCTGAGGCGTCCACCGAGGAGGGCGAGGGCACAAAGACAAACAGTGCCGAGACTGCCGGGGATGACCAGAACCTCGAGGTTGACAAGGCTGGTGAGGCTGGCGACATGACCGCGGAGGAGGCGCTGACAGCGCGTATCAACAAACACCTGCCAGACCAGATTCGTATCTGGGGTATCATACGGACAAACAACGCATTTAGCTCGCATCAAGCGTGCGACTCGAGGTGGTATGAGTACTTGATGCCTAGTCATGTGCTGCTGCCACCGCACCCAGACAGCTTCCTAGGCAAGAAGATTGTGGCCGCCGTCAAGGAGAAGGGCGAGTTCGACGACTGGAAGACCAGGCTCGGCGAAACGTTTGACTTCTGGGACAAGGTCGAGGAGAACGAGATCAAGCCCATCCTGTCGAAGCTTGACGATGCGACTAGAGACGAGGTTCTTAGAAGGCTTCACGTCATTGACGATCTCCAGCAGCCTAACCAACTCGGAGCCGAGGATGTAGAGGTGGGGGGCGCTGCCCCCGACGGATCGAATAAGTCCCCCGCAGCTACAGCTGTAGAGACTGGAGAGGCCCCCGCGTGCGAAACGGCGGCTCCGTCAACTGCCGACCCCCAGGCCATGGCGGACGTTCAAAACGACAAGGCCGCCGCCGCGCCAGATGCCGAGGCCGACCCCGCCGACGCCGAGATGGCAATCAGCTCGTGGTACACGGCTAGTGAGGCCGAGTTGGCCGTGCGCGACATCAAAGCCGCCTACATCACAGCCAAGAAGCGGTACCGCGTCTCAGAGGAGCGGCTCTCGCAGCTCCAGGGCGCGCTCGACTGCTATATTGGCACCAACAACTTCCACAACTACACCATCCTCAAGAAGTTCTCCGACTCGTCGGCTAAGCGGCACATCAAGTCCTTCGTCGTCAACCGGCAGCCCATCCAGATCGGCGACACGCAGTGGCTGTCGCTCAAGGTGCACGGCCAGAGCTTCATGATGCACCAGATCCGCAAGATGGTCGCCATGGCCGTCCTGCTCGTCCGCTCGGGCGCCCCGCCTGCCGACCGCATCAAAGCCAGCTACGGCCCCAAGCGCATCAGCATCCCCAAAGCCCCCGGCCTGGGGCTGCTGCTGGAGCGGCCCGTGTTCGAGAACTACAGCAAGCGCGCCGTCCAGAGCCTGGATCGGCCCCCGCTCAACTTTGACAAGTTTGAGGCCGAGATCCAGTCGTTCAAGGACAAGCACATCTACAAGCGGATGTGGGATGTCGAAGAGCGGGCGAACGTGTAAGTCTTGTTCTTCTCGAATCCGTTACTTCCAGCCTCCCACTGACACGGCTACGGCGGTTGCAAACAGATTCCACACATTCTACAACCAGCTGGATAGTTTCGCCACCGACTACTTCCTCTGGGTCACGGCCAACGGATTTGACGTTGCCTACGAGCGCAAGGAGAAGGGTGACCGCGTCCCCAAGGGTCTGGAGGCTCAGCTCGGAGATGACGGCGAGAACCCTGACGAAGGTGAGGGCTAGAACGGGCCTGCGGACAGAAAGAGGATTTTGTGCAGCCTTCGGTGTAGTTAAGAGCTGGTGATGACCGGGATCCCGTGGGCTCGACGGGATATGGTGCCACTTGACGTCGATGGCCTTTTTTCTTCTGGCGCCTCCTGTTTGAGACAGATTACAGATACCCTGGCATGATGCGCTGTGAATCAAGTCGTTCTTAACCCCAAAGAAAGGTCTTTGTTCTAGCCTGATTTGACATGAGATATTCAACGTAAGGGCCCAACTCGGGCCTGGTTATGATTATGACAAAGAAAGACAAAGAGGATTCCTGCCCCGTTGACACACTAGAGACATACGACATGCAGACATATCCCTAAGTCAACACTTCACACCAAATCCTCCCCTATGGATGCCCAGATATTATGGCATGGGTAGGTGGCCCCTATCAGACCATTTGGTGCCGTCATAGTGGACTTCCCTTATCCCGCCTTCCTTTGACTGGAAATAGCACCTGTTGAGTTCCGTCCTGGTAGATAGAGCCATCGACACGTAACCCTGGTCGTATCTCACTCCGGGACCCTTTGTCAAGCAGGTTATCGACGTCGGGACAGCGGCTGACGCGAAGACCGGGTCCGACGTCGGGGCCGAGAACTTGGTCCCGGAACTGCCGTCGGTCTGTGACACGATTACGATACCGCCGTTGGCGCTGCTGCCGCTGGCCCTGGCCTTTTCGGCGTCTTGAAACAGCAGCAGGGTGTTGAGCCCGCCCCCACCCCGGGCGTACGTGAAGCCGGCCAGGGCCGCGCCCTCGGGTATGGCCAGGTCGAGGGAGCCCGACGAGGCGGACACGACGCCGTTGTCGGCCGCGCGCGTGTGCAGGCGGATCTTGCCGTCGCGGCCGCGGAAGAAGAACCGCGCCTCGTTCTCGTCGCCGCCGCGGTCGACCATGCCCGGGAGGACGAGGAAGGACGCGCCGGTGCCGACGTCAGATGACGTGAAATTCGGAAACGCGCGTGCCGTGGCCGACTCCTTGACCTCGCTAACGTCACCCCTATTGCTCGTGTACTGGACGTAGGGCCACAGCGCCGACAAGGAGCTCTTCGGCGATGCCAGAATGCCCCTGGGGTTGATAGAGTCATCGCCGCCGCCGGGCACGACGTCGCGCCAGTTATAGCCGGCTAAGTTGGCCTCGGGGGACAGGAAATATAGTTGCAGTTGGGGTGTGGGTGGTGCGACCTAGGTAGGAAACAAGACTCGCCAGTTAGCGCGCGAAATCGAAAGGAGAGTAGAGGTTCCGGAACATAATGGTGCTTACAGTATCCCTGTAGCTGAAGTAGATCATAGTGGCGGCCATCGGAGTGCCACCCATGGCCTTTACGCTCGAGCTCGTTGCACGCGGCGCTGTCCATCGGCCGTACATGGCGATATACGTGCTGAATATGATGGTGTCATTTGGGGCTTGGTAGAAGAGCCTGATTGTAAAATCGTTGTCCTTGCCATATTGATATCCCGCCACGGCCAGGGCCGAGTTCTCCCTGATAGTGTTCTTGGCACCAGTCGTATCGTTCGCCGACGTCGGGCAGAACGGCGGCGGCGGGGACGAATCCCCGCCTCCGCCTCCGCCTCCTCCCCCGCCCGCAGAGCCGGCGCCTGGGCCACAGTTCTGAGCCTGCTTGGCTTCATTCACCTTGACCCATCCCGCAACGCCACCGGCAACGCCCGCCACGATGGCGACCAGCACTGCAATACCGAAGATCAGCCAATTACGCCGCTTCGGGGATGGATGCTCTGTCGGGTGTTCGCCGTGATGATCGGTGATCTCCGGCTCGGAGGCCGGGGCCGGGGCCGGGGCCGTTGTGTGCTGGGGGAAGCTCTGCTGCCAGTGATCGTTGTGTCCGGAATAGCCCGCCGCGCCATTGTAGTTGGGGACATAGCCGCCGCCGGTCACGACCTCTTTGGTCGTGTCCTGCGGGGAGGCCACCTGCTTCTCACCATCCCCCTGTCCGTTGCTGTATGCTAACTCGGGGCTTTGGATCCATTGCGATGCCATGGTCGCTGTGACGGGCGCTTGAGATGGGCGAACGACTGAGTGCCGCGCCTTGTGGGATGAATCAGGTCGACACTACAGGTAAAATGAGAGAGTCGGGGAGCTAGAGAGAGGGACATGTCAAGCCTTTTGGGCTCAGGCCGAACCTGGCCCTCATCCAGCAAGGCTTAGCGGATGCTGCGGTGCATGGTCCCTTGACTGGGGCGGAGGGCCAGGGGTAGCATTAACCATTGGTGGCCATATGTATATGTGTGGTTGACGATGTATCCATTGTGGAGTAGCGGCAAGCAAAAGGATTGGTGTATGCCACTCTAACACGGGAAGATGGGACATTGATTGGCTCCACTCTTGGAGATTTTGCTTTTCAGGCACGCGGCAATCCCAGCTGGTATGCTGGGAGGGCTGCGGGGTCTTTTAGCGCTGACGCCCCCAAAGCCAGGCGAGATGAGATGGCTGGAGTGTAAAATAATGTTGAGTTGTGGCGGTGTCTTGATTGTGGCCACTAAGGAGAAGAAAGGGCAATGGTCAAAGGGTCAAAAAGGTGTAGACATTAGCGTGTAAAGGTGGCGGCCGTTGGTAATAAATAAATAAAATGCCAAAACAATTTTCCTACCAAGCTAAAAGTAACTTATAATTGATACTTCAATAGCAAAAATTAGACATTTACAGCCAAACATAGATGGGTCCCTAGAAAGTGTAAGGAAAAGGGATAGAAACCGCGAAAAATTAACGCCTTTACCAAAACAACTTGCAGGAACAAAAACTGGCACGCTGGGTGGGTGACATAATAAATTCCCCGCGGCCGAGACCTGAGCCGTGTTCACTGTGGACCCATCCAAGGTACAAAAACGTGTTCAGGCACCCACCCGCCGTGCTCATCCCAAAGAGCCGAACCATAACCAACATTAAACTCAAGGTAGGTGCGTTCTAGGGCCTAGCTTGCCGCTTCCTGCCGAGTCTGTACTTTGCCGTGCAGCAATACCTAGGGTACCTCCAGGTCGCTGACAAAATCATCTGAACGTATTCCAGAACCACCCCAGAACCACGTCAGAACCACCACATAACCACCACCCCAGAACGACAGCCCAACAGCAACCATGGATCGCGGAGCACTAGCCAACCTGCTCGGTGAGTTTGCATAGCCCGTCTTGATGTGCATCTGCTTTTGGCATTTAGAAAGGCGGCCTGGGAGCTTAATCTAATGGCGGGTGGCCCTCAGATCGAGAGCAAAAGACTCTTTCCGACATCCTCTCGCGGTACGGCGGTGTCATGATGGCCGCGACCACTGGCGTTGACGGCCAGTCTACCGTGGGCAGTGCTGCCTACAACAGCATGCAGATGGAGCTGGAGCTCAAGGGTCTTGTAAGTGGTGCCCCGCCTCCCCGCCCTCTCCCACCTCCAACCCATCACTTTTCTCCAACTCCCACTAGCTCTTCCTCCCACCCACTTTGTTATCACTCCCTCCCACCATCACCTCTCCCACCCTCGCTTCTCGCACCATCACCAGGCCTCACTCGAACTATCACCTTCATCCCAGTTCCAATTGTCAATCATCCAAGCAACTCACTAACCATCAACCCCGCCTTCTTGTCTCTTCCTGCAGGTCAAATCGACCGAAGATCTCTTGACTCTCACGCGTCTTCTCCGCGAGCTCTGGCTCGTCGGCTCTCTTCTCAAACCCGGCGAGGGAGAACGCGTCGCCGAGCAAACCATTGACGGTCACGTTCAATCCGCCGCCGCACTGATGGCTCATCTTCGCGATCAGTCCCGCCAGCAGCTGGTCGGTCCCACGGGCCAGTATGTCGCCGCCCCCGTCGTCCCGCCGGGCCCGCTGCCGCCCGTGCCCGAGGGCGTGACCACCAGCAATGTCAACGAGCATGCTCCCCCTCAGCAGGGACATCAACAGGGACACGTAGCCAATTAGGATCTGGCTGTCGCGTTGGCGTACGTTGAGAACAATGACCACCCCAATCTGTATGACGACCCTTCCGTGTCCGCTCCTCAGTCATCCAACGGCTCGCCTGATCTGGGCCCCTCGCACACCCCGGATACCTCGCCCGAGAGGAACCGCATTTCTGGCATGAATCTTGTATGGACCGACTCGGAGAGTGAGTCGGAGAATCCTCTCGCTCCATCGTCGCCGACCCAGGGCAACTCTCTACTCTGGACAGATGACGAGACCTTCAACGCGGAAATGCTCAGCATCTGGGACGACAATCCTGCCTCGGACGTTGATATGCAAGACTACAACAATCCTGCCTCGTACATCGATGGCCAGGAGAACAACAAGACCACAACTATCCAAGACGTTGGTGGAAAGAATACATCCACGACTCCTCCCCTTGCACGCACTGCCAGTCCCTTCGGCCCTGTCAGACCCAATGGATACATGGCTCCATTCCTGCATCGTTCTGCCGCTTGCACGAGTCTGCAAAGCCTGGGCAATTCTTCTTCGTCGCTTCTGGACAGCGCTCCGCCCAAGACGCACAACCCAGCAACCTGGCCTGTTCCCGCCTTGCAGTACATGCCGGCCTCTGCCCTTCGTCCCAGCACCCTGAGTCCTATCAGGTCTCCGCACCGAGAGAATTGGGGCATGGCTCCTCCGGTTCTGCCTCGTTCGGCGTTCCCATCCAAGTCCCCAGAGGGCAGCCCTTCGTGGCGATCTGGCGGCATCCCTCGCAACGCCCCGAAGCCAGCAACCTGGCACCAGCCGACCCTGCGTGGCGGCGGTTTTCCGTCTAAAGCCGCCAAGTCCCTCCCCGCGCCTCCTCCGCCACCTCGGCCGAGGCACGCCACCCTCGCCCCGGCCCCGCAGTTCCCGGCCCCCCGGCGGCCATGGCTCCTCCTCCCCGCCCCGCCAGCCCCGACCGGCCGAGGCTGCCGGCCTGGCAGATGCCTCCGCCGTATCTGCCCAGGTCGGCCCTGCCGAGGCCGTCGCCGTCGGTGGCCCCTCGCCCCTCGTCCGCGGCTCCCATCCCGGAGGAGGAGGGAGCCCCAACTCCCTGCCCGTCCCGCGCCTCCTCCCCCTCCCCCAGCGGCTCCAATGAGCCGTACAAGTCGAGGTGGGACGTCCGCCCAGGAGAGGCCCAGTAGGGCAATGCCAAAAACAGACTAGACAATGTTAGATGTAAAAAAACAAGAATTTTTTATAAAAAACAAAAAATAAATGCCAGTAAAGTCAAAGTTTCCTGATCGTGACGAAGATTTATAGAAAGTGGCAACCTCATGAAGCACAAGTGCTCAACCACCCAATATAATAGGGAGTAAACGTGGGGGTGGTTTGTGCACTCGGACCTCCCTCACCCAGAGCAGCAGGGGAGTCACGACGCCTCCCACGTCTATGTCGATCAGGGCAAAGTATCATACCTCAACGGTATTATCGTCTCGCAGCCTTACGCCCCAAGAGCATTCGGCCTCGCGGAGGGGCATCTCGAGTATGCCCACACGTGCAGGAGGGACGGTGCTAATCGTCAGCTTCTGAATTGGAATGACACGGGTCGAGGCCAGCGGCCCAACGGATGATTGGTTCCGGGCGATAACGAAGAAGGATGGGATAGGAGGATCCTCGGACTCCCATTCTAGGGCTAATGGGCTAGATGGGCAAGGCAACGTCAAGAGCCCTCGTTAATCTAGCTATATCCTGTATCCGGTAAGGTAGGCCTGTTCGGGTACCTCTGCGTGGAAGAGGGTGGTTTCTTTCATCCTAAACCACAGTAGCATGGCGGACGGACACATTCCCTTTGACATCTCTCGACTATACGAGGGGCAGGTTTTATTGAACCTCGGATGTTGCTAGTCTGGCCGTCAGAGCTCTCTTTTATCATCACCCAAAGCATGTAAGCATGCCTGGATCAGGGACAGACGGGCAGGAACTCGGCCGTGGTTACTTGTAGAAATAGCACCTTGAGTGGTGCCAGTACTACCAGAAACACATCAGCCAATGCCGCCATGTACGGCTCAATCCTTGTTTAACCCGTTGCCCTTGTAAAGCTTCATCACTCGGCCCTGCACCAGCCGGCGAGCCGCCGCGGCCCAACTAGCTAGATATATATGACAGGATGTGGCCACCGGACGCCAGGGCTACGGTGGACTGGACGCGGCTCTAGCCGGGTATCTCTCCGTGCAACTCAGGACTAGCAAAAGTCCGTACTCATTTCTTCTTTCTGGAGCCGCTGGAGACAAGTTTCTTTTTCAGGTGCTTGGGCATCTTGTCCTTGCGCTTTTCCCGCTTGGCGTCCTTGACGGCTTGTTTGTGGTCCTGTGATGAGGTACAAGGTATGATTAGTTGATGCTGCAGCGTGAAAGCAAAGGGAACCAGAAATCCATGCAGACCTTCTTCTCGTCCTTGTCCTCGAACTTCTTGCCCCTGGGCCGGCCCTTGTCGAACCTGCTCTCGTCTTCGTCATCGCCGCTGCCGGCAGAGGAGCCGTCGTCGGAGCCCGACGTTGCGGCCTCGTCATCTTCGCCGTCCTCCTCGGCGTCGCCCTCCTTCCTCCGGATGACCTTGTCAGCCAGCAGGTTGCTGTAGACGAGGTCGGCGCCCTCGCCGCGGCCGACCTTTTGCGCGTCCTTCTCGATGTCGTAGACTTGCTCCAGCGTCTGCGGGATGTACTGGTTCCGGAACACCTCGTTGTCGACCTCGAGCTCGGCCAGGGCCTGGTCCGTGTCCGCGGCGGGCGGGCGGACCTCGTAGAGGTGCTCGAGCGCGGCCGTCAGCTCGGCGCCCTCGTCGACGGGCCCTTCCGGGGCCGTGATGAAGTTGAAGACGGCGCGGTCGGCGAGGACGTCGACCCCCTGGCGGCAGAAGAAGTCGCCGACGTTCTTGATGTCCATGCGCAGGAACTCGAGCGAGCGCGGGTGGTCGTGTTCGACGCTCTGCGACACGTCGATGATGTAGAGGCGGCCGTCGTGGTACAGGATGTTGTACTCGCTCAGGTCGGCGTGCACGAGGCGGCAGACCTGGTACATGCGGCGCATGAGGCCGAGCAGCTGCAGGTACAGGCCGCGCCAGCGGCGGTCGGCGTCGTCCGGGTGCTGCTCCTCTATGCGGGCGTCGCGCAGGCGCGGGTAGGCCCAGCCCTTGCGGTCGCCCAGGAAGGCCATGACGAGCACGTGCAGCTTGAGCTTGACGGGCTCCGGGCAGGGGATGCCAGCGGCGTGGAGGCGGCGCAGGTTCCGGAATTCCTTTTCGGCCCAGAGCTTGACCATCTTGCGGTTGTTGCCCTTCTCGGCGCCCGAGCGGAACCGGTGCTCGCCCGCGATGTACTTCTCGCGGTCCTTGAAGACCAGGATGGCCGTCTTGTAGATTTTGACGGCGCGCTGGACCGCCGCGCCGCCGTTGCCGTCCGCGTCGGGGTAGGCGACGGCGCCGTAGACGTTGGCCTCCTTGCCCGTGCTGATGGCGCCGTGCACCTCGGCCACGACGCCCTGGTTGATGAGCTGGAGCAGTATCATGCGCGTGCGCTGGTCCAGGACCAGCTCGCTCGTCGCCCGGTCCGACTTGTCCTTCTCGCGCGTCTGGTCCTGCTTGACGTCGTCGAGGCGGATCTTGGCGGCATGCCTGGACAGGGTCGAGATCTGGTCGTCGACGCTGGCGAAGGTGTTGGCGGCCGGCTTCTGCGCGTTCGCCCGGGGCAGCACTGAGGCTGACGAGCCGCCATCTTGGAGCTGGCGCTGGCGGTTGTACGTCTTGGTCAGGTCTGCCGAGTTCGGCTCCCAGGCGTCGTCGTCGTCCTCGAATATGTCGTCTAGGTACTCGTCGTCATCGCCGTAGTCCTGGTTGGTGGGGAGCCGGCCGTTTTCTGCGGCCGTGTGGGAGAGGCTGCGTGGAGTGGACTCGATGTTTTCGTAGCCCTGGGACTCGGTGTAAGAGTAGGGAGGCTGGTGAGGAGCTGCTGGTGACTGTGCTTGCGCACCAACGGCTGATGGATTTGAGGCCATGCTTGCAATGCCCTGATTTTCTCGGAAAGGCCAGATAATAAACGGCAGGTGGGAAAAGACAGCGGGCGCGGGCGTTGCCGCAAGAGAGGGGCGCCGAAGCACATGTGGGATGGAAATTTTGTGCGATCAGCGTGGACTCGCACCCCGCGCCCCGTCCGCCGCCGGCTTAGCCATGTGGAGCCGCCTGCCGGACCCTGCAAACGGTTTGGGTGTTCCACATTGATGGTTTGCGTTGGCGGCGCAGTCGAGCGGAGACGACAGGGAAGCTACTCGCAGCCATCGTGGGGGCTGAATCGACACAGACGTCCAAGGAAGACGACGGGAGAGAGGCAGTCCGGCAATGTGGCAGCTCAGAATGATTTTGTAGTGCAGCTGGCTGGCATGCTACCTCTGAAACCAGGCTGAGAAGGGGGCGCTCAAGACCAGCCCCTGACCTCATTTTCACGGTCCCACAAAGCCGAACTCATTTTCGCTGGTCAAAGCGGTCACTCAATTTCAGTTTGGCCGAAGACGTCATCGCGCCGCGCTTCAGAAAGTAAGGGCGGCGGGCAAAGGTTGGCCACCCGCGTCTTCTCTGGCAGGCTACGGACCCGACCCTCAATATCCGAATACCGCTTCGCCAGTCAGGGCAGCAAACAATTTGGAAACACATCACAAAAGACGGGAATGCCATATGCGTGTCCAGATGTGGAGAGAAGTCAGCGGACGTGGTTGGTGCATGCCGATTTATGACAGCATTAGTTCCCGCGTCAACTGCCACATCCCGACATGCTAACGCACCAGCCTATCTCAGGTACACTCAAGAAGTAGCCGTGGCGATAAGGCCACACGCATCATCCGTGACTCGGCCACCAAGCACACAGGCCAGCGTCACCTTGCCAACGGGCATCATGAAGAGCCAGAAGCTGTCAACTTGGCCCCTGCTCCCTCCAGCTCCAGCAATTCCGTCATCTCCTGGCCCGGTTGTGTCACCCGTCCACACACAATGCTCCGCGCGGTGCACCCCGGACCGCAGCCCTGGCCCCCTGTCCCTCACAGAGTCACAAAGGCAGGCATTGATGTTGCTGTTTGCGGCTAGCTCCGCCGTCCCCGGACCGCCCAGCACGATTCACCTTATCGGTGGGTCCTGGCTGCTGCCTGCAGCCTGGATTGGCAGCTCCCGTCTGATCTTTAGCCAAAACCAGCTGCTCCGCCGCAGCTCTGAGCTCCATTTCCCCAACCGAACCAAGCCTCACCAATACCTGTCGACGCAGCTGGCATGCTCGCAGTCCCTGTCCAGCGAGCCGAGCCGCTTTTGCATCTTTTGTCCTTGTGAACGCGCCACGCTTCTGCGGATGGCTTGTCTATTCTATTATTTCTTTATATTCTCGTTGTAGCTATATTCTGTACCCCAGGGCTTTGCCCAGACTGCCCAGACCGTTTGCCAGCATCGTTATCTTTCCCTTCGATATAGGTACAGTAACCCCTTCCGCACTGCCCCAGTGTATCCTTTTCACACGTATACCCGACTTGCGGCTAACAACCCTCCAGCAGCAGTAGACATAGCGTTTATCGGGGCAAAGATGCCGTCCTCCGTCTCCGCAGAGGCCGCGCCCTCTCCAGTTGGCAGTTCCGGCGCTCTTACGCACCGCCGCCCTGCCTCCCTGCGCTCCGACCCCGATGCCGATCATCACGAAGCCCCGTCCGCGGTCCCTCTCGAGCGCCTTGTCGAGTACCTTATGGAAGCTAAGCGCAGCCTGGCCTCAATGCATCAGCTAGTCCAGGCCGGCAACATGGTCGCTCGCGCTACCGACTACCACGAACGCGCCGTCAAGCTGTCCGCAGACGGCAGCTTCTTATACTGGGGCCTCGCCAGTCTGGTCCAGCAGCTCGACGCTATGAAGCGCGGCTTCATCCGGACATACGACAACCAGAAGAAGAAGTTCGACGACAACATACACCTGCTCGACGCCTCCGTCGGCCGCCTCACTGGCATCCTAGACAAGCTCAAGAACACACCAGTGGACCCTGTCTTCAGGCCTGAGGGCGAGGAGTCCAAGAACCTGAAGGACTTTGTGGACGAGGCGAATGTCCACAACCTGATAAATGCTCTGAAGGACTGCATCAATGAGCTCAAGGTACGTTGTTCGGCTCGGTTCCTCCGAGTGTCTTGCTTGCCACACCCTGCTTTGCTACCATGCACACTACACACCGCCTTCGCCTCACTCTGCGGCTGCCCACTCACAAGCTCCGGATGCATTGGGTACCCTGGCTGCATTTCACAACCTATTCCCGATTAGCAGTCGCTGTCTTCTTCGCCGCCTCCTATCGTTGCAGCTCCGTGCCCCAATCTCGTCTCCCTCTTGCTCTTTTGCTGGTGGCCCATTTTGCTCCCACGCTCGTGATACATCTGCCTCTGCTACCCTACTGGGGACATATTCGCCTCTCTCATCTGCTGTGTCGTCTCAGGGGGTTTGCCTTCTCTGGTTAGCATAACCATGAGAAGCCAGCAGATCTTTGTAGTTGCTCTGGATCAAGCTCCGGCAACCACTCGACGCCGTTTCCTTTCGCCCACAAGTGTGTGAGATGCGTTGTACCCAGATTGCTTCTTTTGTGCCGGACGCCTGCGCCGTTTATTAGTAAACTCTGCTTTCATCAGAATCCCCAACGTCCGCACTGTATACCCAAACGCCGACTCGTGCGGCACATGATCAGGATATAACCTAGGGCCAGGTTCTATAGATCATGGGATTTTGTGATCCTGAGGACCCCTCTCGTTTCTGTTGACCCCCCTCTCTCATCCTGGTTGCGCTCGCCTCACACCAACTCTACTTCCACTACCCATCCCCTGTTCACACCAAAGACCGATATGGAGATTTCGTGATTGCCCACTCTCGTTATAAAGATCCCTGGCTAATGTCTTCAACAGGCTGCCGAAACCTCCTTCGCTGGGGATATTTTCCGATTAGAGACCGACATCACCGCGGTCAAGGCGAGGATGAAGGCTGTTGCCATCCCCGATCTGTCACCATCACCAGATCACCTCATGCAGCTTTCGGAGCGCTCGTTCCAGATGAGCCAAACGCTAGTCTCCCTAACACAACATTTCGACAAGTGCGTCAAGGCCGTGCGCGAGTCCGAGGGCGGCATGGAACTGGCGCTCAGGATAGACGCGGAGGCATCTCAGGAAGCATCGTACAACGACGGGGTTCAGCTGCCCAGCCTCACACATCGACTCCAGCCCGACGACCACCCCAACCCCAAGCACGACCTCATGTCGTCTGCCGAGCTCCATGAGCTGGTGCAGATTGTGGTCGAGGATGCGGCCGAGGTGCAGCCCACGGTCCGGGAGATGTGTGAAACACTAGAGAGCATGACACCGATCCTGGCTGCATCTCGGGAGCAGCTGGAAACATGCGAGGGCGTCTGTACAGCCCTTGTAGAGGCCTTCTATCACGCCGAGAGCGTCCGCCGCAAGATGGCCAGCTACCAGGCCGCAGAGCGCGAGTTCAGGGAGCGCATCGCGGCGGAGCAGGACACCATCGACACGTGCGAGTCGCAGGTCACAGAGCTAACCCACTTCTACGAGGGCTACATCAACGCCTATGGCCAGCTAAAGACGGAGTACAGGAGACGGCAGGCCCTCGACGAGAAGATACAGGCCATCCTTCAAAAGGCCGCCGACGCCGTCGAATTCTACCGCGAGCAGGACCGCGTAGCTCGCCAGAACGTCGAAAGCTCCTTCGGCGCCTTCTTGCCCCGGGATCTCTGGGTCAAGATGGACGAACCAATGAGAGAGTTTAGGGTGATTTTGGATACCAAGAGCCTGGACACCGCGGCGGCAACGTCACCAGCACCAACCACCGCACCAACAACAGCGCCCGCAGGGTCTCGCGACACTGGCGATCCCAGAGAGCCTGCATCAAGTTGACGCTAGAACCCCCTCGCTGGCTCCCTTGACACGGTTTGGCACACGTCTTGACTTGCTTGTCACACTTGCTTGGAAATGGCAGACTCCACCTACACGCTCCGGTTTGGCAGCTTATTCTTTGGTTCTAGGAGCAATATGCTGGCGCTTCCGCTCGGCTTCGATATACACCGGAGCAGGCGTCTCGGCGACGAGAGCGAACACCATCAAGGCATTGGGTAAGACGGCACGCAAATGAGCTTCCTTGGCGTGACCTGGCGTTCGACATTGACCATTCACTCCACTCGCTCACTCATGGCTTTCTTCTTTGTACTTGTGTCCTTTCAGCGTTAGACCGTCAGGCCGACGAGCATTGCCACACCTCTTCTTTTCCAGATTGTGTTAGTAGCTTGGGGGCTCCCGGCATTATACCCACGGACAAATGGTTTGGATATGGCTTGTATAGTATGGGAGTTATGATATAGCTGTTTTACGTGTAATATTTTTAAACTGCTCTCGACCATAACTTGTGATGTTTGCCCAGCCAGACGTTGTTTGTGTCAAGGGAGCCTGTGGGTCAAGGGCACTCCTCCGTAAGGTAGAGGCTCTGCGTGGCAGCCTCCCCGTCTGACGTAGTTCCGTCCCATGGAAGCACGGACTACCTAGTTATAAATGCTTGGCATCAATTCCCAAGTCGTTCCTTCCAGTCGAGGCTTCGCACCCAGAGCCCTCTCCAACCTAGAGCCATATCCCTCCGAACCCTCTTCCACCCACACTTTTCTCCCGCACAAATCCCTCTGCTATCAAAAGCCTCTCCCACCAAATCCCTCTCCACGAAGATCTCTCTCCCGCCTAGAGCCCTCTCGCACCCAGATTCCTCTCACACCCAGATTCCTCTCCCACGCAGACCCCTCCCCCAACCAGAGCCTTTGACCGCCCAGAGCCCTTACCCGCACGCCGCTCTCTCCCACCCACCAAAAACAAGCTGGTACGGAACCCGGGGCAACATCGCCACACGGCCCAGATCCCCATCGCGATCGCCACCATGCCTGCGAATAGGGGATCGCTCATCCCGCCCCCGAGGCGCCCACATGTAATTTCTCCATCCCTTCCAGCGTTTTGGTCCCCCCTCTCCCCACCCAACCGTTCCAGAAGTCCGAAGCGCTGACACAGGCCCAGATTTCGCGGACACTTGATGCCAGGTTCCTTACGGATATGGGAGTCCCTCGGGCCACCCAGGAGGAGTATTACCGGTTGTACGACCAGCTGTAAATCATCCCTCCTTCCATCCCCTTGAAGCCACGCACCCGTATTCCCGCAGATCACACGGCACAGCACAGAAGCAACTAACAGTATCCTTTCTGAAACCTCCAGCCATGAATCCGGCCCACAACCGTGGCTGCCATGCCGATGCAACCACACACGGCACAGAGCCTACTTGGAGTGCTGGCTGGAGCAACACCATTGGCTCCAGGGGAGAGCCCCCCCGATGCGCCGCCTCTGGGGCCCAAAGCTCTAGTAAGTAATGCCAAACCCTACCGCGGCTTGAAGCTCGGGATCACGAAACCGACCATGGACTAACGCACAAAACGCGGGAAAATAGGCTGGCGGAACTTGCAGAGATTTTGGAATGGAACCCACTTGCATGCTTCCCTCCCCCGAAATGGGAGGCTTCTGGAACGTCTGTAGTTAGGCGGTACCTATCTAGGTACTAGACATAATAACACTGGCATCTAGGAAATCCTGGCCCGTCTCATTGCTGGCTGAAAGGTCCAAATGAAGAAAAGTGAAGGAGAAGTGAATGAAATTGAAAAGAAGAGGAGAAGAATAAAAGGAATCGGAAACAAAACCCAATTTGCTATGGAGAGGAAACCACAGCATATCTAGCAAGCCCAAGGACAGCCCCGATGAGGATCGCCAGCGGCGCGGCTAGGCCAAAGTACCGACCGCCAACGTACGATGTCGCGGCCACGACGACCCACTAGGGGTCCTCGCCCAGGCTGCGGTCGCTCTCGAACCCCTCGTCCAGAAAGCCGACCTGCTAGACGCAGTAGACGGCCGTGAAGACGAGCCCGATGGCGCCCGCGTTGAGCCCGCGGACCGCGGACCGCACTAGCGGGCGGGCTCCTCAGCGACGGCCAGACGCCCATGGTGCCGTTTACGAGCAATATGCCGGGGGAGAAGATGGCGACAAAGGCGACGGCGGAGCCCCAGGCCGGGTGGACCCCGCCCCGCGGTTAGCCCTGCCTAGGAAGACGGCAAAGTTGAAGTTGGGCCCGGGGAAGGCCTGGGGCGACGGCGAGGCCGATCAAAAAGTCGCGCGGCGACACTCACCCTTGGGCGACGACGTACTCGCGCAGCAGCGGGATCACGACGGGCCCGCCGCCGAAGATGATGGTGCCAGCCAGGAACAGGTTCGAGAACAGGCTGAAGAGGAGCGGGTGGCGTGGCGGCACGGCGGCACGGCGGCGCGCGTGGCCATGACGGCGGCGAAGGCGGCGAAGAAGCCGCCGAGCAGGACGGCGCTGGTGCGCCACGACATGTTGAGGCGGTATTCCTGCGCTATTACCCGCAGCTCCTCGTCCGGCGCTGCTGTCGGCGGTGGGCCCGTGATGCCCTCCCGACTCCTATTAGACATGGTAGAAGCTGACGACGCTGGCCCTGTAGTCCCGAGACCGCGGCGGGAAAAGCGGCGCCTGGCTGATCGCCGCCACCGACAGGCCAGACGTCCCCGACGTCCCCGCCAGAACCTCCTCCCCCGCCGGGTGATGCTCGCCGGCCTCCTCGACGCCCGGCCGCCGCCTACGGGCAAACACGCCCCCGACGGCCCTCGCCGCCGGGTGCAGTCAGCTGAGGTCGTGGACGACGGTGGCGCGGCTTGACGCAAGCACAAGAGCGGGGAAGTACCACAGCGCGTTATACAGCAGGCCTGCGGCGCCCGTAACCGACACGATTAGCCGGGTCAGCTTATCCGTAACGGCCTTTTGGGCCAGCTCGATGGCTGCCAGCGCGATGATGCCGACGGTGGCCGAGATCAACCCCGAGAGAAGCGCATACACGGCGCGCGGGAGGGTTTCCTGGATGTTGGAGATACCCACGGAGAGCGCGAACATTCCCAGGGCGCCCGGGAGGCTGAGAGGAGGGAGGCCCTGGTTAGCTTTGGTTCTGGATGACACCGGCTTGGTTCGCATCTGAGGGGCATCGCCACGAACCCCAAATCAAAAAGGCGAGCACGGCGCTAAAGGTGTCGTCGTGGATCAGGTTGATGCAGTACAGCATCTTGGTGCTACCAGGGCCGGACAGCGCCTGCGAGATGCTGAACAGCTCCTGGTACTAATAATAACCACATACGGCACTGTCAGCGGCGGTTGGTAGCACACCTTCCGTGGCTGGAAGTGTAAGCCATCCGCCTACTATCTATTCGTCTACCTACTTGTGCTTGTGGACAAACATGTCGTAGAACTGCAACCCGGCTCGGAGATATCCTGTTAGCATTCTAACCCCTGCGCGAGCTACGACACCGCATCCACCGACACATACATACGATCTTGAAGTGCACTGGCGGCCCCCCGAATGAGGTAAAGCCAAGGTGCCAGTTGACCTCGAGAACCTCCCACGCGCGCCCCGCGACCCTGATCGCCGAGTCTTGCCAGCTGTGGATGACCATCTTGGGTGGAGAGCCGCTGCAGGGGGTCTTGTCGGAAAATGAAATGGATATCATGCAAGTACCATCAGAAAATTATAGATTGTTTCTTCGTTTTGGGAGTTAACATTTCCTAGCCCAGCTGAGGGTGCTGCTTCAAACTTGACAGGAGAAGCGTCTTATGCCATGAGATTTAGGGCTGGCATTATTGGACGCCGCGTTCGCGACATCCGCCAGCAGATTCGTGGTGGGGACATACATTCTAACCAGGCCATGCCGTCAAAGGCGATCATTAAGGCGATTTCCGGGATCATGCAGTCAAGTGTTACCGTATCATTGTTGGTACTAAGAAAATACTGCGGAGAAGGAAGATGAAAGGCGCAAAGGCCTGAAAGGGGAAGACACAAAGCGTATTTTACTTTCCAAAACCCGTGCCTAGAATCCACGCTTCACTGAATTCGGCGATCGCTGCAAACATGGTATCGTATCGTAGGAGCATCCCGATAAATCCTAGCCCATCAGATTAACAACAGAAAAACAGATAAAAATGTTGAAAGACGACATTGCAGCGAAGAAAATCCAATGGCCGAAAAGTACAAGATCAAGTCGCTCGACGAGGCAGCTGGCCATCGTGCGGGGGGCTTCCGACGAACGACGGCGGAAAATATCCCTCGGCATTCCCATACGAATGCTGGTTCGGCGCCCCGACCGCCAAGCTGACGACGCTTCCCGGGGGAGCGGCTGCGGTCGGCTGGTGGTGATACTGAGTCGTCGCCGTAGGCATAGAGACATGCCGCCACTCGTGTCCGCGCGGTGATTCCTGCGGATGCGAAGATAGCGGGTGGAACTCAGAGCTAGACCTGATACGTCTCGGGTCCGGAACTGCCCCTCTTCCTCCCCAGGTGTGAGCACCGCCAGCGTAATGTGGTGTATGCTGGGCTGTGCCCGAAAGCTGAGGGTTGCTCGCGTAAGGCGGCAGCGGCGCGCTGGCCGGGCCGTTGAAGAACCGGGCTTGGGACAGATTCTGAGGCGATTGGCTCTGCCGCTGAGGCAAGGGCGGGGATGTCATGCCATGGTCGTAGAAATACTCCTGGCTGCCGACACCTGAGAAGGCCGGTGCCATGGGAGTGAGCCCAGGAGTCACAGTGTTGCTTCCAATAACGGTGCTTCCTGGCGACATCAGCGGCTGCGAGTTGCGGAGGGCGGAAAAGGTCTTGTCAGAGACATCGTAGACTGTACCCGCGCCGCCGTTGGGGTCGCCGGGTACCAGGCTGCCGTCAGACCCACTGCTGTTCTTGCCGGCAGGAGGTTGGGAGGAGGTGCTTGTTCGATAGGTCGCGGCGCCAGAAAAGCTGTACTGTCTGTCTGCTCGGTCTCGGGATCCCATCTCTGTCGTCGAGGCGCCAAGGTCAGTCAGCATCAGCCACAGAGGTTGGATAGCTGACCAGCCATCGTATGGGCACATGACTCACCACTCCACTTCTCAAACAAAGCAAAGATTGTCAGGAGAGAGAGTATCATGGGAATCATCTGGCCGAAGGCGGTTGCATCGTCCTCGCTGGTCTTTCTCGACCCTTCGTCCGTCTCGAGCCACCCTGCGTTCCGCGCCCACCTGCGCAAGCTGAACAGATACTGGGACGTTAGGATGATAGTGGCGCCGCTAATTGCCAGGCCGCCGAGGAGGTAGAAGATCATCAGGCCCCGACCAAGTCTGCCGAGTGCCTTGCTGCTCTTGGGGCCCACCATGGTAACGCGCTTGAGCCATTGTATAAACCCATGTCGCTTTCGTCCCGGATGCTCGCTGCCGCGGTTGATGGATCGAAAAATCTCGAGTAGGAAGGCCGCCAAGTAGAAAAGCAACATCATGATGTACCAATTCCAGCCACGAATCTTGTTTCCTGGATTGCTGTTGAAAAGAACGTCGGCGAAACGTGTGCCCCCTTCATCAAAAGTTTTACCGAGCGTCTTCTTGAAGTCCGTGTCTCCGTTCTGGTAGCAGACTGCAGGGACAAACATGAAGGCGGGCTCGTCGCCGGGCGGTGGAATGTTGGACGGGAATATCTGTTCTGTGCTGTTTTGGTTGGAGAGGAGCAGACCTGTCGTCAGGAAAAGGAAGAGTGTAATGAGGACGCGGACGCAGGCTAGCCAGGGGTATCGCCAGTAGTCGCGGACCACCGTGAGGCTGAGGAGGTGGGTGGCGCAGGTGAGCAGCATCATGTTGGCCACCATGTTGTAGTGGTAGGCTGTGATGGAGCAGCCCTTGAAGTAGCGCAGTGTTATGGAGTAGGCGCCGCCAGTGAAGATCTGTTGGTCGCTGCAGGAGAGGACAATGGTCTCGCAAAGGGACGTCAGGCTCACAACGGCGCAGCCGCTACGCTCTTGCTTCTTCCTATATAGCTCAGAAGGCAGGCACGTTAGTCTCTGTCACTTTTACCCATTGAAGAGGTTCGTAGGTGTAGCAAACAGGAGGAGAAAACCTACTCGGGAGTCAGGGTAGACTTCCACCCCACCCACTTTGCCAGGTTAAACAAGACGACGATTGTGCTTAGGAAGAAAGCGAGCGAGGTAACCCCTACGAAGACCGAGACCACCTGGAGAGGATACGTCTGTCAGCTGGAGTAGTTCTAATTGAGGTTTCTTGGGCCAGAAAGTCCACGTACGCCGATCCCTGCGATGTCGCCGTCCGGGGTCACTTTCCCTTTGTCGATGGCTCCAATGGCTGTTACGATACCTGAGCTGTTGATCGTGATTCTACCGCAGTCAGGGGTGATGCCGAGTGCGGGGCACGCTGATCTAGAGGTAGAAGCTCCCATCTTGGCCGGTGTGTTACAATGGGTCGAACTTCTGTTTTGATCGAACTCTTGGTCGTTATTGGGTGATGATGGTGAAGTGCGCCTGGGGTTCTGAGATTTGCCGCCGTGTTGCCAGGTCCTGCGGGTTGGTATATATACGGCCAAGTGGCAGGACCAAGGGAGGACATAGAGTCCAAGTTGGATGGATCAGGGCTGCTGGTCCATGCTGTTTCGCTGCGGTCTGATGCGAGTTGCTTGGGCCGGACAGGGCAAGTATATAGCAACAATCCTAGCACATTCTAGGATACACTTGAGCACATCTGGCAGTCGGATGGAGCCCTGCTGGGTGCAGCGGTCTTGCAAGGATCCACCGTGGCGTCGGGGGCCTGGACGTGGGTGGTGCATCTTATGCCGTGAACCCTCCCTATGGTGGTTGCAGTGGTGTTGGGGGCCAGCGGAGGTGGTGGTCGAGATCGGAGGGCGAGGCTAGGCGGAAGCTTGGTAGGACGAGGGTAACAGGATGGGCCGAGTGAGGGTGGACAACACCGCAGGAAGCAGTGTATTCTCAACGTTGCTCGTCGTCCTGGTTTCGAGACTACCTATGGCTGTGGCGGGACTTGAGATTTTGCACTCAGCCTTGATCGAACCTGGGGTTACCTACCACCCTGGTGTTGGTTGCCTGCCACAAGCGCCCGTGGTTCGGTCGTATCTCCAGCATCGTGCCCACTAAATGTCCGAGTTCGTGTGCCGCGTCTGGTGAAGGATGATACGTAACACATGCTTCTATGCTTCATCGCGGATACGCATGGATGATCAAGTTCCGCGGTCGCAGCTTCTGGGACTGGTGGTGCAAGAAAGCTTACCGGCGAGGAGGGGAGCACAGCATCGTGGGCGGTGCCGGATTTGCGCAGCAGCATTTTGGTATGGAGGTGGGCTGTTCTGTTCGTATCTCTGCCCATGTAGAGCTCCAGTGGCGGGTACCGAAGTCAGGCTAGGACAGTGAGGGTGCTGCCTCTCCTTCACAGCCCGGGCTCCTTTGGACCCCAATGCAACTACCTATTGAAGCCGCACTTTCCTTACTTGGTAGCGACTCCGCCCAACAGAAAATTTCCGACATAGGATAGTTGAACTGGACAGGTGACCTATCACGATGCAGCCCTCCTAGCTGACTCCCGGCCCGGCCCATCAGATTCCTACGAGCAGTGTGTGTCCTTAATAAGCGCTACATTCGTTTCAATTATGTCCGCTCTCCTATCACTGAAACGTCCCAGTGGCCGACTTGGGAGGCCAAGCGTCAAGAATCAATCTGGCCATGTGGTTGGCCAGAAACAGAACATGCGTGCTGCGTGATATCGCATGTCTTGGAAATTGAAAAGAGCACAGGTGCAGCGACTTCTGGGGGCGGACTCTGGTGAGAGGAGAACCGATCCGGTAGCCAGTCTTCAGCAACCAGCGCAGGGTGCCACAAACTCCCGTCCGTCTTCCTGCTCCCGAGCAGAATCACACGATGTCTAGAGAAGTCAGCGGTTGCGGTGCCGATGCAGCAGCCCTACCCCAAAGACTAACAGGCACGCGGAGGGTGCCGTATCCGGCAGCCTTACTAGAACACTAGACACCTGAGCAGGCCTGAATCCTTCTAGTCGTCACGTAGGATCCTTGCGGTCAAGTCATCATGGCGCGAGGTGCGAGCAAACCTTTCGGTCAATGTGCACTTTTCTGCGCACTGATCCCGCCCCCAACAGAACGGCCGTAGCATCGCTACCGATCGATATGTCCTAAATTGGCCACACAGTCGACTGCCTCGCCTTGACCCGATCACAGCCTTTCCAGCAAGATGGGAGAAGTGCTCGGGGCAAGGCTCGCCTGCCGAGGCCCAAGATGGCGTGAAGACACGGGGACCTAGATACCTAGGGATGGATGGCACCGACATCTGCCTCTTAACTCGACTGCGTGCCCACCCGAAGCCAATGCTTCGGTCCCGAAAGCTGCTCACCAAGCACGGCCATTCTTTGCTTGCCTCTGATCACTTGTCCCATGTAGCGCAGGAAATCCAGTCTAGGTGACGACGTGGGACGTTCCAGGCCACCTTGTCCACGGCAAATGCAAACCTTGTGCGGGCGTGCCGGTCTGGCCCTTGGGAGCTCGGACTCACCCCTGAGGCCCGTGACAGGTATGTATGAAGCGTCAACTGCTCATAACTACGCTTTGGGGTGACGACTCCCCAGTTGTTTCGTGATTGGATCACCGTTCTGCCAGACTCGCAAAGGCTACCTCTTCCTCGTACAAGAAACCTCGTCCAAACATGGCTCCCTCGGCAGTTTTCCACTCCTTCGGAGATGCGGACTACGCCGCCACGGCGACTTCCAAGAATGACGCAGTATTCAAGAGCGGTGACCCAGAGTGTGCCCTGGCCGAGATCAGCGACCCAGAGGTGACTCGGCCGCCGGCGTTTAGCGACCCGTACGAAGCCCGGGGATATCTAAAGCATCGCCTGGCCATCGCCTGCCGCATCTTTGCCCAGTTCGGGTTTGCCGAGGGTATCGCGGGTCACATCACCCTGCGAGACCCTGTTGACCCGACCAGCTTCTGGGTGAACCCCTTTGGTAAACGGCAGCTGCCTGGCAGGGAACTTGGCGCGTCGTGCTGACTTGTGGGCGGGCGCGTGTCTCTAGGGCTGCACTTCTCCCAGATCCGGGACGAGGACCTGATACTGGTGAGCGAGTCGGGATGCGTTATTGATGGCGGACGGAATCGGAGGCTGAACCATGGTAGGTTTCTCTTCTCTGCAAGGACTCGGATGCGATCAGCAGATGTCTTTCACTGGAGCAACGAACAAAGAAGGCATGAAGACCACAAAAGGAAGCCCGCTGACGACGTCCAACAAAGCCGCCTACGCGATCCATGCTGAGCTGCACCGCGCCCGGCCCGATGTCAACTGCGCCGCGCACGCGCACACGATGCACGGCCGGGCCATCTGCAGCCGGGCTCGCCCGGGGCTGCGCATGCTGACGCAGGACTTTTGCGTCTTCTGGCGCGACCTGGCGCTGCACCCGTCCTTCGCGGGCGTGGTGCTGGCGGCCGACGAGGGACGCGCCATCGCGTCGGCCCTGGGCGGCCGCAAGGCCGCGCTGCTGGCCAGCCACGGGCTCCTGGTCGCGGGCGCCAGCGTCGAGGCGACCGTCGCGTGGTTCGTGCTGCTCGAGCGCTGCTGCCAGGTCCAGCTGCTGGCCGAGGCCGCGGCCGCGGGTCAGGGCGGCGGCGCCGACGCGGCCGTTGTCGAGATCGGGGACGAGGAGGCCAGGGCCACTTGGGAGGTTATGGGGTCGCCCGAGCATGGGTATCTGATGGGCTTGCCGCTGTTCCAGGTTGCGGAGCGAGAGTTTGGAGAGGAGACGTATCTGGGACGAGGTCTTGAGAAGCGTTGATTGTGCCAGGTAGGATTTCCGAGGAACGGTTGGAGGATTGGACAACATAGGGATAAATCTCAAATGATACGTTTTTGGGTGGCTTCTGGAGCGTGAGCAGGGTTAGTTGAGCCGAGGGCCTTGCCCAGCGCAACTTGTTCGGGGTCTGCAGGGCGAACCAAATATGAACAAAGAAGGATCCATTGCACTCAACAAGCAATCCAGCCCGCCTGGTCTAGTGGTTAAGACACCGCTTACCTTGTCGTTCCAGTATATACATCTTTAGGTGGCGACAAGGGGTATATAGATAGCGGAGACCCGAGTTCGAATCCCGGGGTGGGCATTCCCTTTTTGTCTCTTTTTCCTTCGTTATTGCCTTTTCTAGCCAGGCAAACTCCGTAACTACCTGCCTGCTTGCGTGCGCTTGACACGACATCGGGCTATATATAATACCCAAATTTCTAAAAACTGGTCCTTGTTCAATCAACCACACAGCAAGGAGGAGTTGGAGATTTATTGTTCTGATACTACTACAAACGAAAGGGGCCAAGCAACCGTGCGTGCGGGAGTCATTTTGTGACTAACCAGGGCCAGGAGAGTCGGAGGAGCGAAGGCAAATGATCTACCTATACAAATAAGTATCAGGTCAAAAATATAACTGGACCTACAAAACGCCGAGCGAGGAGGGTTTAACCATCTCTCTATATACCTACGTACAGAACCTTTTAGCTTACAAATACAACCAAAAGAGCGCCGGATCTGGCCCATAGTGGGTGTCGTAGCGGAGGAGGTAGTTTAGGTCTTTTTCTGCCTCTTCTGACGTGGCAAGCTCGGCGAAACAGGGGTTGAACGAAGCAGACGGATAGCCTCTGGCTGACGCCCTGGCGTAGACTCGCCTCGAGGTTGTCTCCTCCTCTTCTCGGACCCGTAATCGCGTTCGGGAGCTCGTAATCGGATTCTAACCCATCCAATGGGAGGCCCAAGGCTGTGGTCTCGGACCCACATCCATCCTAGGAAGCCCCCAAGGCTGCGTCTTTCTGAACGTCTGGGTGGGGCAAGCGGACCTGGTCGCCGAGCCGGGTGGAAAAGAGCAACATGCAAGTCTCCTCCAGCACCGCGGGCGGGTCAGGTAGAGGCCTTGGACTGCCGCGACCACGACTAGCTAGCTCGCCGACATTCTCCATCCCGAAGGTAGCGCCAGGCGTGTCGATGTACTTAAGCACTCTACTCCCCCCTCCTCTCGTCTCGATTTATACGAGCTTAGGCATCCTCTCGACTGACCTCGAAGTCTTCGTCCCTTTACGTACCTACTCTCTCCCTAAATTCTCCTTTTCCCTGTCTAGAACCTTGTCAACCCATCATCAAAATCCTGTGGCCCACCAGCTCCCACATCACAAAGAGCCACTCAACTAGCAGACCATGGAAGCTATGACGAGAGTTGCAGATGGCCCCGGTGCCAGTGATACCGATGGTCTCGAAGACAAAAGAGCCGCAATGGTGGCCTGGCAAGAAGCCGCCATTGCCGCTCTGGGCCCAGTGCCAGACGAGGTTCAAGAATACTGGACGACGATCATCACCGAAGATGGGTTCGAGTCGAAGACCCTGGTGATTCGGCCGAAGCCTACCATCCATAACCACGCCGATGTCCCCGAAGATAGCGACCCGGCGCCGCGCCGGCCCCTCATCGTCCTTTTCCACGGCGGCGGCTTCGCGCTCGGGACGCCCGCCATGATGACCCGACCGGGCCGCGAGCTGGCCGAGCGCCTGGGCGCCGTCGTCGTGGCGCCCACCTACCGCCGCGTCCCCGAGCACGCGTGGCCCGGCCCGTCGCGCAGCGCCTGGGCCGTACTCGCCTGGCTGGCCGAGCACGCGGAGCGCGAGCTCGGCGCCAGCCTCGATCGCGGCTTCGTCGTGGGCGGCTTTAGCGCCGGCGCTAGCCTCGCTACCATCTGCGCGGGCGTCTCGCTCCTGCCCGCCGACCACGACCTGCTCACCTCCGACGGCGGCTTCAACAACAGGCTGGCGCGCCCCATCACGGGCGTGTTTGCGAACTGTCCCATGCTGCTCACCGAGGACATCGTGCCGGCCGAGCACAGGGGCCTCTGGAGGTCCCGGGTCGAGAACAGGGACGCGCAGGGGCTGGACAGCGAGGGCGTCGAGCTGATCTGGCGCGTCATGAATCCGGACTTCTACTCGCCGTGGACCTCGCCGTTTAGCGGGTGGCTCAGGCCCGACGGCGGCTCCGGAGACGAGGCTGTCCCGGTCGGGATCCCCCATTACATACAAGTGGGGAGGCTGGACTGCCTGCGAGATGACGGCGTCGTCCTGTACGAGGCCCTCACCTCGCGTGGTGTGACGACGCGCATCGATATATTTGAGAAAGACGGCCACACTGGGTGGTGTGCTCTCCCCTTCGAGTCTCATAGCAAGAACCCGACGGTCGAGGAGGCTACCATGGCGGGGTTTTCTTGGCTTCTTGAGAATGTCTGAGCCTTTTTTTGTTTGATGAGTGTGTCTCCGGTAGTCTTTGATGGTATGTATAGTCTATCCGCGATGGAATTGAAGCCCTTCTATAAGACGTATCCTGTCCGATGCGGCATTGTCCTCGGCAGTCAGCGACCGGGTGCCCAAAGCAATGTCGTCCTCACTCGCCGTGTCATTGCACCGGACCACCCTGGACGCGACAGCGCCCACAGGGAGGTCCGCCGGCAAGTATATCGCCTGGCCGCTCTCCAGCAGGTAGTTGGCGCCAACCTACTCTCCCGCCAGCGACCGCTTCGTTTTCCTCCTGCTGAGGTCGTCGTACTTCTGGAAGGTGTTCCCGTCAGGCTTGCAGTCGCCCGTGCAGTACTTGTACGGCTTCTCGTTCTGAAAGGCCACGGTGAAGAAGCAAGGGGCCTGCTTATTTCAGAACACTTTGCCGTGGTACAGGTCCCCGAGCTTAGCCCCTTGCTTGCTGTTGTCCCCTTTAGGCACGCAGCGGTTGATCTGCCCGCCTCGGCCGGCCGAGGCGGCCGAGGCGAAGGGGCACTCGTCGCAGTTGTAGCCGTTGGCGAACGACGCACGCGCGCACCGGTTGTTATATTTAGGCTTGCCCGGCGGGTTGGCGGGGTCCTTCATAGAGCCACACCCGGCCAAGGTGCGGCGGCCGTCCCTGGCAGGGTCGCTGGGATTTTCCCAGGTCAGTTTGCTGGGGAGCTTGTGACATTTGATGTCGTAGCACATGGTGTTGTACGTCTCCCCGACGTGGCTGCAGTCAAAGGTGAGGACTTGCGGCTGGGTTGGCTGGGGGCTGGCTTCTTGGTCTGGTAAGGGGCAGGCCGTGTCCTGGTCCTGGTCCGCCTTGGAGCTTTAGCCCTTGCGGCGAGGCTCGGTGTCTCGTCTGTTGCACTCCCTACAGCTAGAGTGACGGCTAGAAGAAGAGATATGGGGAAGAGAACCTGCAGCCCAGCCAACCCAGACCCCCCAATCCCTGCATTTCCCAACCCCATCACACACATTCGAGCCTGATATCCCGCAGCCTCGGCGGCTGTTGGTTCTGATCAAAAGGGCCTGCCGCTCCCACGAGCGAGTCTCGTCTAATCTTCATCCTACATTCGTACACCTATACGCGTGAGCCACAAAACAGATACCAAAACCAAAGTCTACGACACCCCAGGTGATAGACCGGCGAGTGCAAGGCGGTTAGCAACAGAACCCACCGACACTAGTCACAACCAATCCACCCCACCATCTTTGCCTTCCAACAGCAGCCATGGCGCCGCAGCCAAACGGCCAAGACGGGAAGCTCGCGCTCCCACCCGCCGGCGCCCCGGAGCTGATCCAGTACTACCCGAACATCGGCAGCATGGGTGCCGCATTCGCGATGTACACGCTGGTGCCAGGCATGACGGCGGCGCGCGTCGAGGAGATCGCGGCCGAGATCGAGGCGCCCTGGACACGCATGCTCGGCGACGGAGATTTCGATAAGGACCTCCGCCTCGCCAGGGCGCCGGCGGACGACGACGATCAGTGCCGGGTGGCGTCGGTGACCGAGGCCATTGCCGCACACGCCGCGCTGCCCAAGTACGCGGAGGAGGACGTGGACAAGAAGAGCCCATGGTTTTTGGAAACTGCACTCCTCCTGGTGACAAAGGATGACGTCTCTGACCCACACGCTCTTTTGCTCGTTTACGTCGACACGGAGGACGAAACGTATTGCCCCGAAGAGGACCATGAGGATGACGAACCAAGATACGACCTAAGTGGCAAGCTCGACAAGTTCTTCATAGATGTCTGCCTTGCCCATTCTGCCATCATGAGCTTTCTCATGGGTGACAACACATTCAACGATAGCAAGCTCACCTACAATGCGGATAGTGACACCTACGACATTGCGCCGCTCATCGAGCGGAGAGCCGATCTCTTTAGCTGATCCAAACACGGAGGTGGAAAATGAGCTTGGGAAGACGGAACAACTTCGAAGGAGAGGCTAGTTACCTTCCGGGGGCGCGGAACAAACAAAGCACATTACTAGAGTATATGGCAGGCTCTGTGGAATCATTGATACACACAAGTAGAAGGTCATCAAGACATTCGAGATTAGAATAACAGACAGTTCAGGAGGTCGCGAAACGCAAGGCGAAAACAAAGTGCAGAAACAACACAGAACGCCATCGCTTCAATCCCACACCCCCAGCCATCTCAAGGGTATCTCCCAGCTCTCACGGGTATCTCCTAACCCCGGGCATCTGCGGCGTCTCCGTCGTTGTGTAGCCCGCGTACCTTGTCGGGGGCACCCTGGGCGGCGGCTGGTTGAGCACGGGTCCCTTGGCCCGGAAGAAGCCCGCCCAGCCGCCGCCGC